AATGGATGCTCATGCATTTATTATTATCTACGTAAGAACGCATTTTTAAAAACTGGGAGAGAACATACTTTATTGTGCATTATATTTCTGTTATACTTAATAAAATAATTTTTTCTTCTTCAAAAGGTCTGAAAATCTATTTTAAAAATTCCCATGAATTGCCATTTCTGTTCACATTGTAGGGCCTCTGCTATTCCTGTTTTAGAGACCAAAGAAAAAACTGCTAATTTGAATCTCCTCCTCTGGAGACAATCAAAACCTGCCTGGACACGATCCTGTGCAACCTGCTCTAGATGAACCTGCTGCAGTGGGAAGATTAAACAAAGTGATCTGCAGGGGTCCCTTCCAACCCCTGCCATTCTGTGAAAGCTAGCTGGATTAGTGCTTTTCTTGTGAGTTTGTCATTCTGATATTTAGTGCACCATCTTGCATTTTAGTCACTTTTAATTTGGTTCCATTTTGGCATGTAATTCATGCTTTGTCAGTATCAAACATGACAGCAGGTAAGTGAAATACCCTTCAGATGCAATGCGGCAGTTGGTCATGAAATTAGCAGAAAACTCACTATAATGCAGAACCACTTCCAATAATGAAATATAATTTCTATAATCCAAGATGTTACTGCCAATGGAGTACTGCACTTCTTTGTCAATCTGAATATTCAACTTTTTTGAGCTTCAGAACTGTTCATCCATCATAACAGAAACAATGTAAATTCAAAATCTTTGATTATACTTGAAACTCAGCTCACCCAGGAAGCCTTTGTCGTAGTTGTACACTCTAACAATTTTTTTTAAAATGAGGTAGCTTCTTATTTTGAGGATGTTTATGACTACAAAATATAAATTACATTTAAGTGAGAGAAATCTTTGATTTCTCACAGAATGCAATAAGGGCAAAAAAACCTATCCTAGCTTACAGGATTTGATTTCTGGCATCTAAAATGGGGCCACTTAAGATTCTATATTTTCTGACTATGCAGTTTCCAGTGTCACTTTCTCCAGAATAATTTATAGTGCATTAATTAAGAATAATGTGGGTTTAGAATGACAGAAAATAGGTTGTTTACTATTTCATAGCCTCTTTTTTTATTTTTAGGAAGTATGTTGAAAAAATGTCTACATTTCTTCACTGAACTGGAAGAGCTCCAGTGTTAGAATGTTTCTCTCCTTAAAGAGAAATAAGAAAGTACTTTACCAAATGTAGCTTAGTATACAGGATGATGACATGGTAGGAGAAAAGCCTTACTATGCAGGCTTATTTAAGTGCTGCAAACTGAGTTTGTAAGCTTCTCCACTCAACAATATGTACTATTCCTTCTTGATTAATAATCCTGTAGTCTTATCATAGCATTCCACATCTGAAACATTCATTGCAGGAAGACAATACAAATAACAAACTGAAGTACATTCAGGTAGGTTTTCACTTCTAAAATTGTATACTACTACACTGTAAGTCCCTATATGCTGAAATGACACAGTCTTAAGAATCAAAAATCCATCTTAGAAATCCCTATCATTTAGGAGAACATTCTTATTTACTCACAATCAAAAATCCATCTGAAAAATCCCTTCTGTTTAGGAAGCTATCATTTTTACTTATTCAGAAAACTAAACTATACACTGAACTATAATTTACATTCTTTAAACTGTATCTACTGTCCAAAGAACCTGCAGAAATCTCACATTTTATAAAAGCTGCAAGTTACAACAATTAGTATCTAAAAAATACTACCTGACAGGATGTAATTTCAAAAAAAAAAGTAAAAATGTTTATACTTACATTCAGCCAACATTCATTTTCCTCAGATGCTTGCTATTAGGGACTCTCTGTGAGTAGTTTGCTTTTCTAAGCTCATGAAGGATGGGCTGGCTGTCTTGCTAAGGCTTAATAGGATAACAAGTTCAATTTTTTTTTTTTCCTTCCGACTTACCCACTTCTGTACTGTCAATCCCAGTCAGCAATGATATGCTGTATACACATACCCTACTAATCACTGAAGCAATAAAGGACTACTAGTTATTTAACTCTTAAGAGCAGGTTAGAAAAATAACAGCTCAACCTACCAGGGCTTTACGAAATGTCAGGTTTGTCTGAAAAGTCTTAATCAACCAGATTACCTAATTAAAATTAAAAGAGGGAGCAGTGTTGTTCACAGTCTTGCTCCACTTCCTTTTCTATTTCTGTCTCCTAAGCTCAGAATCAGATTAGTATATTTAATTCCATGGAGCATCATGACTGGTCTACCTTTAATCAGCCTGTTAGCATCCACCCCTTTTTCCTTCACACGTTGTAGAATTCAAGATAGCAATTTACCAACTTTCACGGAACCACAGAATTGTTTGCGTTGGAAGGGACCTTCTAGAGATCATCTAGTCCAACTCCCCTGTTAAAGCAGGAAGGCCCAGAGCACATTACTCAGGGCTGCATCCAGGCAGGGCTTGAAAATATCCAGAGAAGGGGACTCCACAACCCCCCTGGGCAGCCTGTTCCAGGGCTCTGTCACCCTCACCGTAAAGAGGTTCTTCCTCATATTTGAGTGGAACTTCCCATGTTCCAGCTTGTGCTGGGTGCCCCTCGTCCTGTCACTGTGAACCACTGAAAAGAGTCTGGCTCCTCCCTCAAAGCACCCTCTAGATACTTATAAGGATTAATAAGGTCGCCCCTCAGCCTTCTCTTCTCCAGGCTAAAGAGTCCCAGCTCTCTCAGCCTTTCCTCATAAGGGAGATGCTCCAATCCCTTAATCATCTTTCTTGCCCTACACTGGACTCTTTCCAACAGTATACCTACACGAAACACAAAATATAATGCTAATGCTATGGTATCACGATTAGAATGACTTAATATTTCATGTGTTTACACATATCCAATCTGAAAAATGAGATAAAAGAAGTATGCTTATAGGGACAAATGCAAAGTTTGTAAAAATCTCACAATCGGTATTTTGTTAAGATAAGTTTATGTGAGATATCACGAGCTTATCACATGAACATATAATTTGGTTATTAGTCTCAATTTTGGTTTGCGTTTAAACACCTCATCTATTTGTTTTCCACTTCATTAAATTACTATTTCTATTATTTGTAAATTATTAAAATTTCAAACTAGATAAAATATAGACTATTTATAAATTACATAATGAACAGAAGTTAACTTTCATTAGTGTACAGGCCAACTGGAGAAAAGGCATCTCCAGAATTTTCTGCCTTGTAATCTGCATGTAAGGAGTAGTCTTTTTGCTCTGGTACCATTGTAGAAGCAAGGGAGATGGGAGTGAGATCATTATTACACCAGGTGAACAAAGCCTCTCTGTTTAGTGATTTAAGGTATACTATTTTCTTAATATACACCATTAACTTAGCATCAAGAAGTAGTCTGCTTGCAAAGCTCCAGTCTTTTGGATAAAGCAAACAAATCTTACAAAGGTGTTGCCCTGACCACACTCTAGTTAGAATCACTGCACTGTTTAATTGTTGTTAAATTTAGTGTGGCACTTTTCTAAATTGCTCTAGTTGCTAACAAACTACATCATTTGGATCTTCAATTAGACATTTCATATGTAATCTGCAAACAAAAACCACTCCGCAGAAAATTTCTAAGCATTGGTATTTTCAAACTAAAACTCTATCTTAAAACCTACAAACAGGTCAAATTAAGCAATGCATAGCCAGGAAAAATTTCACTGTAAGTAAGAAACTAAAAATAATCAAATTAATTTTCTTAAACGAGGGGTGTTTGTCATCTTCTCTGTGAATGGTTGTGGGGAGGTAAAAAAGAAAAAAAAAAGCTTAAAAAAGACTGCTGGTTTAGCTTTTGAAAATGTATATATATTAAAAATTGTTGCAACATCAGAATTTATTACGACTGAAAGATGACTAAAACAATTATCTCTGAGTTTAACAGTAATACTCTTGTCATTTTTTTTCAAACTATATTTTTTCTCCTTTATTCATGCAGGAAAATGAATTTGTTCAAATTATTTATTAGCATTGTAATTGCAGATATATCTCGTTTACACAGATTCTCAATTAAAAAAATAGTCTCATTCTTAATCTCAGTACTGATTATAGATACTGTCTTCTGACTTTCAGTTATAAACCCATCTCTATAGCAAACCACCATAATTTCCCACATGAAAACTAAGACTAGGATAGGTCTTTTACACATATTTTTAGTTACTTCAATATATTATTTATCTTTACGCTACCTGTATTTGCTCTTTGTTTTATCCTCCTTCTTCCATGTGCTCCTCATTCCTTCCTCATTCATCTCTCAATGTGTAATCATCACAGTACTAGTTAAAAATTCCTTGCATGGCTTAGTTTCCACCACTGACTGCATACTGTCCAATGTTCTCCTTTACCTGTATGAACAACTCGCAACTAGGCTTCCTTCTGTCCCACTACTGTTTTAAAAGATTAATTCCACTGAAAACATGCTGCCCTCCTGGTAGCTGTAGTCCATGAGAGCTTTTCATACTTCCCCTCCTCTGTAGAAGCAATTTTTAAGGGAAACAGTGTCTTACTCCTTCTCATTTCCAGATGGCTCAACTGATTTTCTTCATTTGTAGGAATAGCTGAAATAAGGGAGAGAATGAAGCAATGTAATGATTTGTCAACTGTTCCAAGTCTGTCAGAAATGATTCTTGCTTTAAAGTTTGAAATCCATTGCATTAAAAAGAAAAGAAAAAAAAAAAAAAAAAAAAAAAAAAAACACCAAAGAAACAAACAAGACAAAGACTACTACATGTTGCATATGTTATCACTATTGCCTACAAATATACCCTCATGCTTATAACGTCCCTCCCTTTTCTCCTGGTAAGTGCTTCTCCTAATAAATTCCAGTTGTCCTCTGGGTTTAATATTTTTCCTAGAACTTTTTTTTTTTTTTTTTTTTTTTTTTTTTTTTTTTTTTTTTTTTTTTTTAAAAAAAAAAAAAAAAAAAAAAAAAAAAAAAAGAGCCACGAAGCATAGTATGACACTGGATGGAAGAAAAAGAACTACTAGGATTTGTAAAACATTTTTACTGATTCCAGTTTGCAGAGAATTTTGAAACAAATCTGACATCATTCACTGATTAAAAACATTCAAATTACTCTGAATAAACATATCCCCATATGATAAGTTAATATTTACTACTATCATTGTATTTCCTTCAGGAAATTTGCATTTCTATCACCGCGATGACTGCATAATCACAGACTACTAACCACTACATAATGATATTAATAGTAAAACCAGTATACTTTTATAATCTTCCACTGTGAAAGAATATTAAGTTAACATCCTTTTCAATAACATCATAAATTAAGGCACAAATCTGAACTGTAGCATTAAATACATAGAAGTAAAGATTTTAATTTATATATTGCTTTCCCAGTCCTACAGCTGGGGTTGCTGTATTTCTTTCTACTGAAAAATTCTTAACAGCAGCAACAATCTTAAGTGTCCCTATTTCTAGAAAAGAACTTTGTAACTATTTTGAGATACTATGTCTTGTTTAATTAATTTACTTTTCTCCTCCATTACTCTACAGTTGCACTTCTAATTATCAGAGAATGAAATAACTCACTGCCTAGAGTAAATAAGTATATTATTATCTTACAAAAACATCTAATATTCAGGCTTTTGGGGATGGCTCTCCAATACCTTTTTCATAAACAGAGTATTGTGTTATACTTTTAAATTCAGGCTGACATACAATTGGGTAAGTGCAGGCCAAACTAGACTGGGGCTGTAAATACTCTGCTTGAAGGGCTATTAATGGGAAAGATATTAACCATTTAAGTATGCTATTAGCTTAAAAATAACTATTGCTGATAAGAATTTCAGCACTGAACGTTGATTTTTGTGCCAGGCAGAATTTAAAGAATGGAGACAGGAAAAAATGAGAAAGAGAGAAAAAAGACAAAATAGGAGGATGTAAATGCAGAATTCAAAGAGCAGACAAAGTCAGGCCTCTTTGTAATGCTGTGACTCCTTCCAGTGGGGGACAGGAAAGAACAAATAAACATCAAGAGGATAATAGCAATAAGCATAATAACTTGATTCTAAAATGAAAAGGCAGCCTGTGCACAACAAGGTACTGATTTTAGCTATTTGTTGCTTGCTTTCGTGGGATAATGACTGGGTTGTTGTCCGGTTCTAACTCAGATGTGAAAAACCTACAAAGCGTTGCACAGTCTAGCACAGGAACCAAAGGAAAGGCTCAAAAATTCATGTGATTGCACATTTACTAGATAAACAATTATTTCCAGTTTATTCCTAATTTAGCATTTACTAGAAGAAGTAATTTAACTTAAATAAATCAATTATTTGAATTAAAGATTAGCATTCATTCCAATCCAATGTTTTATCAGCTGGTGTGCAATAGCTCGACTTGGTGGTACAAAGAAAGAACGCTGGTTTCCTTTAATGAGAACTTCCACGACCTGCAAAAAAGACAATTTTTTTTCTTTAGAAGATAGTACTATAAACTATATGTAATCTAACATTGCATTAATGCAGGAATTATCTTACTGTGATAATCCATCATTACTATAGCTATTAAAAAACCACTAAAAGACAAGATGCAGCGAAAAAACCCCAAAAGATGCTGTGTGAATTCTGAATTTTTGAGCTCAAATCTGTCCCAAAGGATACCTTCTTTCTAATAAAGCTGTGGAGATTGACTATTAATATAATATTTAAGGTTTTTGTAAAACCTCTTTATGGTAAAGACCACCAGATGGCGCACTACACCATTCCATAAATAATTCTTTTTTTTCTTTTTTCTTTTTCACATGCAGTGGAGAAGGAAATGTGTTTTGTTGGTTTTCTGAAGCAGTTGCAAGCAACACAAGAGTGCGCTTCTAGTTTACTACATTTCTGAAATACATTTATTTTGAACTCCAGACCAACCTGCATGCAACTAATTGTATTCAGAACCGATAGTCATTTAAAACAATGCTCTCAGTGTTGTAAGGAATATACTAAGATTGTAGGTGAATAACTTTGCTTTCAAGTTGACTTGCAAAGAGTCAAAACACTTTGCAACTGCTAGGCAGGAGTACAGCGTTATTAAAAGTTTAGCTTGTTAAGTAGCCTGTGGAAAAACCTGTGAAGACTACATTGTGTAAGCAATCTTTCCTTTTTCCACTCATGAACTTAAATCTCCCTTTCTGTGAAAGACTTTTAATCCTCTCTTTTATTTGACTATATTCTAAGTATTCAGGAAACCTAAGCGTAGAATTTCCTATTAATGCATAGAAAACTGCATTCAATACCAGAGAATTAAAATAGTACTGCAAGGAAAAAGATGTTCAAACTAATGAATTCCCAGAGCTTTTACCTAAACCTCTCCCCTCTCATCAAATCTGGTAGCCTGCTTGTTTGGAGAAATTCACATGATTAATGCTCTTAAATACTACTTCTGCCAAAATGAAAAGCCTGTACAGGCTTGCTGAGAAAGTGGGTTAAAGTAACAATAACTTGGATACTTCCTAAAAGGTGAAGATCTAACTGACAAAAATGTCATAAAATGGGCTTGCAATTGACTCTGAAATTACCAGGAATATCTGCCTTTCTCTGCTTGTGTGTGATCTACAGCTACAATATAAAGCAATTGTAGTATGATAAAATGAAGAGTATACATGCTCGTTCCAACCTGCTGAAAAAGCAAGTATCTGTTGTATGCCAGAACCGATACAGTCACAGACTAATCAATACAAGAAGGAAATTGAATTGAACTTTACCTGTTCTCTAGTGAACCAGCGAGCATCCTCTATTTCATTCTTGTCAACTTTAATTTCTGTAGACACCGCAACAGCTAAGCAGCCAATCATTAGGGAGGAGGGCATTGGCCATGGCTGACAAGAGACATACTGAACGTGGCCAACTTTGACTCCGGACTCCTCTTCTACTTCTCTTCGAACAGCATCTTCTATTGTTTCACCTAATCAAAAAGGGCAAAGAACAAGCAGCTGATGAAAAGCAACGATTCCATCCTGTGCTTTGACCTGACTCAAAAGATTTGAAACTGCCCAAGACAATTATCTGTAGAGATCTAGTTCACAGATTAGGGCACAGATCCTAAGCACAAGATACAGAAGTCTAAAAAGGTAGAACTAGCCACAAAGCAAAACGGAAATTTGAAAATAAAGTATGACAATTTCTCCATCATAATGTTTATTTCCTGAATTTATAATTCATCGCACACGCAAACTATTATTACCACACCTAAAATGTAAAAAATTGGTAGGAAATACATTGTTCTTTTAATTACTTTTGAAATGCTGATCTGTTCATTTATAAATAGCATTGTGTTAATTTTTAGATTTTCAGTATGATTGTAATAGCATGTAATACAACTTGAAATTCAGTATTTAAAATTACAATAGTAAGACAACAGAGACTTAAGAAGACTTGCATACATTTCTGCATTGTGTTATTCACTCTGCCTGACTCATTCTTCATTGCCTTAACACATACAGACGAGTCTCCAAACTTAAACTGCAATGGAAAACTTTACTTCCATATTTACAGAAAACTAACTGATTTACATGTGGAGTTGTTGATGGTCACAGGCTTACATATGCATACATGGAATGTGTTGTAACCACTGATTAGAGGTTCATTAAAGCAGACAGTCCATGTGTCAGAAGTTTTAGTTCAGCTACATTCAGCTGATTAGAAGCTGATGATAAGATCAGTTATTCTTAAATTTCAGTTTATATACTTGAATTCAGTATCAGAAAGTAATAAGGCTGGCAGAAGAACAAAAGGAGCAAGGAAATCAACATCGTGCCTTTTTTCAAGTGGTATCTGAATAAACTTATTCATTCTGTCATCGTATTTCACCAGCACAGATTTACTGAATATAGTTTATGCTACAATTTCACCAGTGATTAAGATGAACTCCCAATATAACAATGTTTTACAATAATATAACAAATTGTTCTGCAGCTACTAATAATTGTAAATAATCCCAACTATTATTGCTTGACACAGCCAGCGAAATATCTCTCTTCCTTCAAAATGAAATATTTTCTGCTTAGCTTCCATATAATCAATCAGATCCTAAAAATGTAAGCATATGCTTAACTTCATGTTAACTTTATGTCATGCTTTAACTTTAAATTTTTCCTATGCTGAAACCCCTTGCTAAGTATCACCACAGAAAGGAACTTATATGTGTTTTAAGATGTTTTTTCACTTAAATATGTAATTTAAGAGTACATGATGAGAAAACTTTTTAAATTATATTTACTCAAATTACTTATTGCTTTTTTTATAGATCAGCTGTTGGGAAGTATAGAACAGGCATATTTATTATAACAACTTATCTAACAGGAAGCAAAAACATTTATTCGACATAACACCAAACATATTTCTGTATTATTTTCAAGGTACAATTCTGATATGTGAGAAAAAACAACTGGTACAGGAAAATTAAATTACTCACCAGGTTCTACAAATCCAGCGAGACAGGTAAACATTCCTGAGGGAAACCTCTTCTGCCTACCTAAAAGGCAGTGGTTCCCATCTGGATGGATGACTTGCATTATCACAACAGGATCTGTAAAGGAGATGAAAGGAATATATTTCAACATTTGAGGGACTTAAAAGCAGTAAAAAATTTCAGCCTATTTGATATCAATGCATGTATATACAAGATAAGATACCTTTACGTGACTGAAATTAGAATTGTGTAAATGCCCAGAGCAAGCTGCTGTTTTATTTAACTTTGTTTATTTTTTCCCCTGCAAGATACTTGTTTATATGGTTTGCAACATACATGCTCAGTAGAAGCAGTCTACTAGCCAAGGCTTGAAATGCAGGACATAAATTACTTGCAACCAAAGCACAATCTGTTCAGAGTACCAGCAATACTAACCTAGCTATGCATCCAAATTAGCTATGCAGTAATTTCAGCAGCAAAACTAATTTAGTATCACTTCCTCTACACGCACACATAATGTACTTTTCACTGAAATACCAAAGAAAAGCCAGATACTCTAGTTACAGTGTAAATACTGACTAAATTTTCCATGCTTGACTTTGTTGACTGTTTGCTATCAATCTCTCATCTGATGTTGCACTTTTATCAACTTTCTCACTGCTGGTCATTTTATGTATCTTTCTTGCTTAGTATTGTCTCATATTGGTATCATTCTTTTTGTCATGCCTTTCTGCACACCATTCACCTATGATCTTTTTTCCTTTTTTTATTGTTATCTAGCTCTTAATGTTGTTTTTTTTTAATTCACTATCTGCCTCTGCCTTTATAGATTTTTTTCTTTTGTTACTGTTTTTCAGTGTTTGTCAAAAACACCAGTATTTTCTGTGTATGCTTGATTAAGCAACCACTATAAACAATAACTTCAAAACAAACTTAATCAAAACAATGATTAAGCAGCCAATACAAATAATAACAAAGACTGTTGTCCTGCTCAAAGATATCTGCCACATTGCACAGCGTAGAATATGCAGTGTTGCTGTCTGCAAGCTTTCTTCAGAGGAAAGCATCAATAGAACATACTGGTTCATCAGTCTTTCCTATATAATCCCATTCCTTCTCTAAGTTTGTTGCGCTAGAAGCTCTAAAGAAACAGCCCCTAGTGTTTTAGCAAGCTTTGCTATAGTCCATAAGACAGAAGAATATGGCAGAGTTGCTTTGATTACTACAAAGGTGTATCTAGAGCAAGTAAGAGAACATGAAATTGAGAAATACACATACGTACTACTACCAGAACTACAACTGCAGAAGAGAGGACAGGATAGGGGAAGGAAAGGTGATCAAAGTCACCAGATGATCCAGAAAAAAAAAAAAAAGAGTGACTTCTTCTTCTTTCCTTGTTTCCCCATCAGTAACATAGGACATTTCCTTTGCAGCACATGAACAAAAGGAGCTATAGAAGACTGTCTATACAAGCTTGCATCTGAGTAGAAATAGGCCTGGCAGTTTGTGACTGACAATAAATAGTGAAAGCCAGTGAAGATGGCTAGTACAGTCAAAGTGTCACTACAGGAAAATGAGCACTGTATCAGAAATTTGATATAGGGTCAAATTTATACAGAGCCATTTCAAGCTCAGAAGGCTTGCAGAAGGTGGGAAAACAACATGCCGGGGGCAGAGAGGGAAGGAAAAAATGTGACCCTTTGTATTGTTAATATCTCATTTATGTTGTTGAAACTTCTAATTGATACTACTCCATTGCAATAAAGATTGGTATTGTCACAGCAATTCTTTGTCACAGACTACTGCAAGGAAGAGAAGTCTGAACTACTTAATCCTAAACACTGCTAACAATCCTAAACACATACTCTGGGGAGAGACAAGTATATAATACCTGGGACAGAAGCAAGCAGGTGAAATGCATAAAAAGATACTGATTTACATGTATGTAATAGTACAAACAAGCCACTTTTGACCAAGTTTATCCCACAATATTCTCACCAACTCTTGGATACGATGTGTTGTGAACTCCCTGGAGACTGGGACAATCTTCTTTTAAGCAAGTTTTCTTGTAACCCCCTTCTTCAATCTTGGTTGCGCTCCCACATGTTGGGCAGAATCGGTAGCGGCTGTGCCACGCTAGAACAGATCTAGCCTGGGCTACTACTCCTTTAAAAGAATACGTTGAAAATACACAAAATCAAATACTAATTCATGCAAGCTTTTAACAGTACAGAAAAAGCAAGTGGTAAAGTTTAACATAAAAATCAAAGTAAGACTATGGCTTGAATTATAATCTACTACAAGAGAAGTTGAACAATAGGAGTTACTCAGATCTCTTTATTTGTAGCACAGCACATACAACAGAACACGTTCTGTTCTATGTAGCTACGGATCAATTTATCAGAAAAAAATTCATCCAGATCAATATAACCTGTTTCTCATAAAAGTTACTTTGTCTGGGCAAAGTGCCAGAATTATACATCACACCTTTTCCAGATGACTATTTTAGGGCTACTACAGGTATTGACATAATAATGCATTGTTCTATTTAAACTTCAGGTGCAAGTCAAGCTTGCCTTTATTATTCTGTAAAAGCAAAATTCTTGCAATAGCAGTTGTTAATAACATTTCCATAAAGACATTAATTCACTTTGAGATCCTGACTTCCGAACACTTTCTCATACTGTTTCCTTCTCAGATAAGTATGCAACACACATTAAGTACTTAGTTCCATTTCTTGTAATGAAAACGCAATAATGACAGATTTTTGTCTTCATTTTAGAACGTTAATGCGCATGGTTTCATTTCTTGTAATAAAAACTCAGTAATGACAGATTTTATTCTTCATTTTACAAGCATTAACGCGCATGCATTAATATTTAAATAGTACCATTTCTAAAACCACGATCAATAGGTTTTAGTCTAATACCTGCCATTGCAGATTTTAGCCTTTTGCAACTGCATGCGTTCTTACACACAAAATTCTTCACAAAACCTCTGACAGGCTTTTAAAATTACAGTATTTCTAAAGCCACTGAAAATACTTGATTCCTTTGCAGTGGTTTGCCCTTGCATTATACCTCTGTGAACCCCACAGAGTATCTTTCTCATTACACACTTGGTAACTGCTGCATTTTATGCATCTTACCAGCTTCTTTTTCAGGTAGCTGCAGTAGTGCTGGCATTGGTGGATGAAGAAAGTAACAGTCCTCATGCTTCTGTTTACATTTCTCAGCAGAAGCAGAATCTATGCTAAGAGCAAACCAAGCGACTAACCCATCCTCTTCATCTTCTTGCGGAACTCTTCCATTGCACGCAGCCAGACGGTTCATCTGGAACTGGACCTCAACTCCAAGAAAAATCAAGGTGCTTTCTTCAGTTTGGCTCATGAACTGCTCCACATCCTTGTGGTACAGCCTGCAGAGCTTTACTTCTGGCTGCTGGGAGCTCTCTGTTCCCCCACTCAAAGTAACCAAAGGACTTAGATTTGAGAAGACAATGTATACTGTAGTTGGATGGCTTTGTTTTTTCCTTAGCCACTTGGAATCTGTTCTTTTATCACTCCTTCTGTCCAGAAGTGTCAAGCCAAAATAATTTTCATATTCTTTTGCTTCATTTGGCAGAAAATTAGGCCGCTGCCCGCCCTTCACATTAGCCAACAAATTGGCTATGTGCTTGTACCCCCAAAATTTAGCAATGTCCAGAGCTGTCTGCCTTGACTTATTAACGATGGACCTGTCACACCTAAAGAAATGGAAAAGAATAGCAGTAACCAGATTAAATATGTTTAGGAAGAGTCCTGATGCTATATTGCTCTTACTTAAAGTATATACGTGTAATACTATTAAGGTGCAAGAATTTTGAGACACTATCTATACTGGGGCACTCTTTAGGCTAAATACTCAGCATTATGGTAATGAAAAGTAATCATACTTTATTTTCTTTTCCTAAGGTCTGGTTCACCAACCATTCTGTTGATCCGCTCCAGACTACCACTTACCAAGGTTAATGCAATACTACAACACCTATAGATAAACTACAATCCCACATATTGTATCATGCAAAGAAAGAAACAGAAAAAAAAAAAAAAAAAAGCTCAAGATCATATGCAAATAGAACTTTGAAAGTTCAGGTCTCTTCTGAATAGTCAGTCATAAAAAAACCCCACAGTTTAACTAGCGTTACTTTCTAGAAGCTACTGAAAGCAGCATGAAAACATTCACAATATATTTGCCATTAAATAAGAATCAAGAATAGAGCCTCTGCTTAGTGAGAAAATTGGCACCCTTACAACTGTGTTGCTGGTCTCTGTGGGACCTCTATTACCAAGATGTCTGCAAAATGACACAGATGAGGAAACATGATATTATTAAAATACTAACACAAAAATAAAAAAAAGAAAATCTGAAATAGATTGGTGCTGGTTGATTGTGAAGTCAAAAGTAATGCAGTTTTATTTTTTGTCAGTTTTAACCTAACTGGATAATTAAAACACAAAATTCCCTGTAAACTACAAATTATACAGTGGGGCCAGGCTCATCATTTTTCAAAACCAAAAGACGCCAGTATATTAATTTGCTAACACACAGGTAACTGTACCACAGGCAACACTGTTTTGACTTGACATTTTATGTTAACCTCAGCAGCTTTTGAGTCTTTTTAAAAAAGAATTTCAAAACTTAATTGAAGTTTTTGGTGTTAAAGAAACTACTGTTGCTCATTTATCATTTCTCTTTAAACATTAAGTCTGCCTTAGGAAAATTTTGCTTAATTTCCTACTTAATCTCCTATCTTACAGACACTAAATTTTGTTCTGATTTTGTCTTCCCCTTTCTATCTGCTCAGGTACATGCAGACTGTGATCAGGCTGCTATTCAGTGTCCACAACAGGGGCCTGAACTCTTTAGAATCTCCTTTTTCCTGTAGCTTTTCTTAAACATGGTTGAATATTTAAAAAACCTGACTAGCTTTCCAGGATGAATCTCTGGAATGCTATGTAGTATTACCATCATAGACATTCATGTTCATGTATCCAGCAACTGTATTTGTCCACGATTACTATAACCAAGCATTGACTGAAATGAGACCAATGAGGCCACAGTATCACCTCAGGAACTGTATTCAATTGCCTAAGAAAATGGCCCTGAAAAGGTCATTTGCAAGCAGATATTCAGATACTCTTTTTACAGTAAGCACAACTTAAATGTTATTCTAGTTACCAAACCAATAAATTCCCCCAAATCTCAAAAGATTCCTCAATACACAGATGATTTAAATCCACAAAATCTGGCACTGAGATACTCCTCTACATGCTGGAATGCACTTATAGAGTACAAAACAGTGGTTCATCTGACGCTCCATGCTGAGCCCCAGCAGAAGGCACAGCAACCGGGTAGGACTGAAAAAAACCAAAAGGGTGGGATGATCACTGGAGGCTGTGGAATGCTGTACTTGAGATTACTCATAACTACAGAATGAACTAAACTTGCTTGGTTCTGTAATTAGGGGTGCAGAAAGGAAAAGACTGGGCTTGACTACTAATGTAGAGCTCAGTTGAACCATGAACACCTGACTCTCACCCTTCACTTTGAATCTCTTCCATTTGAAATATTTGGATCCTGACTTTATTCAGTCTGAGAAGACTCTTCTTTGGGGTCTCAAGGAGAAACAGTGAAGCACTCTTTGCTTTTCTGAGTGCCTTGAAAAACTAGAACTACAATAGTTGACTTGAAGATAGACAACAAATATGACAGCAAGTTTTTGACAGGCAATGAACATGCTTGGTGTCATGCCGACTGAAGAAAATAACATGACAGCTCAAGGAGGAAGTGAATTGTCCAAAAAATAAGTGACAAGCGAAATTCATTAATCAGTAACTTTGCTAAAGCTGTGTCTGTCATGTTCTACTTAACAGCCAGTATGTCAGCAAACACTCTGCAGTGTCACACAGATGCAAGAGGATTACAAACAAAGTTTAGAGAAAAAGTCTAAGCGATACAATCAGATATACCAAATTTATACTCTGCACAGTGGTTGGAATGGAATATAAACTTTCTTCTATTCTGTTGATCTCTGTGAAGAGCGACGATATGTCCCTGGAGATCAATGGAATAATTTTAGAGATGTTCAGAAGTTTTTAAAGAGTCTCTTAGCATATATGTAGAGCATGATGCAATAACAGTTATAAACAGGCACAGTGTATTTTCCTGACTTTTAACCCTAAGTTTTCTGCCACTACCCATCAGACAGATTTACTTTTCTGAGATCAAGCTGAAATCAGCAGGAAAGGGTTCAGGCAAGAGCTCCTCACTGGGATTTATTAAAGTGCTTACCCTTCTTCAAGAAGAATCTGCACAACCTCAAAGTGTCCATTTCTGGCACCATACATCAGGGCTGTCCAGCCGTTTTCTGCAGCTACATTGATAAGCGACGGGGAATGGCTGAGCAATGCTTTCAGTTTGGCTGTGTCTCCCACAGCAGCAAAATTATGCAGCTGAGAAACCATGTCCTGACGCAGGTTCTTTCCAAAGTCTGTCATGGTGTCAACTAAGTTAAAAAAAAAACAATAAGAAAACAAAAATACCTGAAAACATATCCAACATTAGTAAAAGGATTTAAGTACTAAGTTTAATGCTATACAGCTAACCCGTTTTGTCACCAGAAGTACAGACACAGCAAACTCTTGTAAGTAGTATGACACTCTTATTCCCAATCTTAGTCCCACACCTCTCCACACACCGTGACATTTTATCCTAGTACTCAGGACTACTTTTAAAGAGGCTTAAGGGAAGATTTTGCTATGAATATGAAGCTTCTTTACAGGTGAAAAACACACACACACACAGAGACACACAGAGAAACACACACATACAAAAGAGCAAACAATACAAAACCTCACTCCAAGAAACGCCTCTCAGATGCTTTGGAAACAACGAAAAACAACCGCAGGAGCGCCAGTCCCTCCGCCGGCTGAAGGACTCCTCCAAGAACTGACAGAAATTACTTCAGTGACTTCGCCGCCGCCTCCGCCCCGGGGCCGGGCCGCTGGGCCCGCTGCTGGCAGCCGGCACCGGCGCAAGACAAGGGAAGCTGCTGTTCCCCAGGCCGGCGCTGCCCGCTCCACGGTCAAAGCCACACGGAAACGCCCACCATTTTCCCCACCGGGCCTAACAACGGCGCCGA